TCTTCTTCTTCTTCTTCTTCTTCTTCTTCTTCTTCTTCTTCTTCTTCCCCTCCTTTCCCTTCCCCTTCCCCTTCTCCTTGTGGCTCAGGGGCCCAGGAAGGCAAAAAAACGGAGCGCAGGGGGGTCGCGCAGCACCCGTCTGCCCCCCCTCCCTCCCTGTGCACCCCTTTTTGCCTCCTGGGCCTCAGGGGAGCCTCCTGGGTGAAGCAGTAAGACAGCGAGGGGGATCCTGGCCCACTGATTGTAGGAAGAGCTGATCGTCGGGAGATGGTCATAACTGCGAGGACCAGTTGTCAGTGACTTTCTTCAGTGCCGTGGAGAGGATGCTGAGATGGTCATAACTGCGAGAACCGGTTTCTTCCGTGCCGTGGAAAAGACGCTGAGATGGTCATAACTGCGAGGACTGCTTGTCAGTGACTTTCCTCAGTGCCATGGAAAGGAGGCTGAGACGGTTATAACTGTGAGAACCAGTTGCCTGTGACTTCCTTCAGTGCTGTGGAAAGCAGGCCGAGACAGTCATAACAGCGAGGACCACTTCTAAGCGACTTTCCTCAGTGCCCTGAGGTGGTTGTAAGTCAAGGAGGACCCGTCGAAGTCTCCCTCCCTCCTTGAGTTTCAAACCTGGTTTGTTTCGCAGCGACCGCTCACCCAAGATAACGGTGAAGGAAGATGGGCTGATCACGTCTGCATTTCGGAAAACTGGGTTTTCGGGATCCAGGTCGTCATGAAGACAGTGAGCAGCTGTCACGACCCACTGGTTGCCTGGAAAACAACAAAACACAACCTCAGGAGCAGCAATGAGATGCTAGCGGTTCAGAGCGGTTCGCCTGACCCGGTAGTAAAAACAAAAGCCACCGATGATCGGCCGAGAGGAGAAAGAAGAGAAAAGCGTTGCAGAGTCTCAGCTGGTGTTTGGAAAGCGGCACGCGTGCACATTCGGTGCGTGCATGCACACACGAAGTGCGCGATCACCGAACTGGTAGGGGAACTGGTTGAATCCCAGGGGTGGTTAGTCGGTTGCAGGTGAAGACGGCTGAGGAGAGCGAGGACTCAAGATGAGGGTGCCAGGACCATTAGGCAGTGGACTGCTGCCTTCAGACATTGTGGGGTCTGGCAGCAGCGAGGAGGAGGTTCCCGAGGAGCCTGTGCCAAGTGTGCACGAGTGCGGGGCTGCTCGCAGGAAAGACGTGGGAGTAAGGCTGCAAGGTAAGGGCCCCTCCTTCAAGCAGATAAAAGCCAGCTGTGAAGTGAACGTTCTTTGCAGGAAGCAAAGACGTTTTGAAACTCAGCCTCGTGGACATTCCAGTAGCTTAAGTTGGTATTTGAAGACTCTTGTGTTGTAAAATATTTCTTATCTGTTATTCTTGTGCTTTTCAAAGTTAATTAGTTTGCAGCAGCCTTTTAACTGGGGATTCATAAGAACCATTAAAAGGTTTCTGTTCCCTTTGGTTTGTGTTTGTTTGGGTCAGAACATGGCCACAAAATTAGCTACCGGTTTGCCCGAACTGAGGAGAACTGGTAACAGCCCTAACCCTGCCCTGTTCTGCTGGTATAATATAACCCAGAAGTTTCTTACCTATTAGGGACCCTCCGCAGAAGGGCCGTCCGTTCCTTTGGAGCATGGCGATCCATGGGGAAATTCCTCGCTGGGCATATCGTCCCCGGATGATCCGGTCGAGCGAGCTTCTGGAAAATTTGGGTTTCCCGCAGACTGGGGAAGAAGGGAAAACCAAGATTTAGAACAGAGTTTTTTCCAATTTCAGATGGGTGGACTTCAACTCCCAGAATTCCCCAGCCAACATGGCTGGATGGCTGACTAGGGAATTCTGGGAGCTGAAGTCCCCCTGCCTTAAAGATGCCAAGTTTGAGGAGAATTCTGATCTGGAACCAAATGGCTGAAAAGGGGCAAATTGATCACAAGCAATAATTTTGGGGGGGATTTTTTTTTATTTAGCATACTTAAGTGCTTAGTAAACAGTGTATTGTCTGGATCAATTTACATATACATAACTAGCTTGATACCCGTGCTTTCTTACAAAACTAAGTTGGTGGGGTTTAGTTTTTGGGGAGGAAAAACAAGGGGAAAAACTTTCACCCTCTGCCTCCCAACATCTATCGGTATTCATCTGGCTAGCGTCCTGTCAGTGGGTGAGAGAGTTGAGGGCTGTTTGGAAACTGAAAGAGTATTTGCTGTGTGAGCAAGAAGGAGACAGCAAGGAGCCTGGGCGTGGCTTAGCTCAACTGTTCCGTACTAAAGCTGCTTGGTGCTGCTGTGAAACTGAAACTGAAACTCCGCTCCTCTGCTTGTGTTTTCCATTTGGAAGAGATTTCGTGATGATGCATGAGGGGCATTTCGCTTTTAGATAGATAGAAGATAGAAGATAGAAGAGGAGGAGGAGGAGGAGGAGGGGGAGGAAAGGATAATAGTATTTACTTGTACATAGTGGTATCCTTCCAGCTTCTAATTTCTACCTCTAATATCTAACCATTGGTAGAACAAATCAAATCCCATGTTAAAAAAATATTCTGTATCTTCTTTATCCTTTACCTTTAATGTCAACTTATCCATTTCTGCCCAATCTAATATTTTTTAAAATGATATTCTCTCATCCGTAGGGGGTTTCCTCATTTTTTCCAATGTTGGGCAAATGCAATTCTGATCGCAAACAATAATTTTTACCCAAGTTACAGAATGCCGTCGTTTATCAAGATTACGGGATAACAGATAATCAGAAGGGACCTTGTAGGTCATCTAGTCCAACCCCCCACCCAGGTGGGAGACCCTACACCATTTCTGACAAAGGGCAGTCCAATCTCTTCTTGAAAGTCTCAAGTGATGACGCTCCCACATCTCCACAATTGGAACTACAATTTCTCTTGCTAAGCGAGGTGATTGTTAAGTTGCACCTGATTTTTCTGACCATTTTTTTTGGCCATGGTTACTAGGTGAATGACGGCAGTCATTAAATGAATCATACAGCCATTAAGCGAATCTAGCTTCTTCCCCACATTGGCTTTGCTTGTCGGAAGCTGGGAAGATCACAGTAGAGATCCCAGGATCCCAGGATGCTACAACCCGTTGTAAATGCACACCCATTGCTGACACGAAACTCGCGGTTTCATGATGTGAGTATAGAGATGCTGCAATGGTCATAAGTGTGAGGACTGGTTGTAAATCACTGTTTCCATGCTATTGAAACTTGGAATGGTTCCTAAAGGAATTAGAAATCAAGAATTACCTGCAGGACAGGTGTAACAACCACCCCAGCTTCTATTTCTAACAAAATTTTGAATTTGCTTCAAGAACTTTAAAAAGGCGATTTCGTATTACTAGATTGTGTCAACAGTTTTATTTGCTTTCTTCTCAAAGTTTGTTAATTACAGAAGGTTAGGAAATGCTACAAAACAGTATAAAACCCACAATAAATGGCGTAATATCTCTTAAATATGTAACAGAGCTCAGAATATACCAAACCTAAACACATTTTGGATTATAATACAGTATTTCTTTCAAATATGGCCTGATTTCTTTCACGGACGGCTGCTCACAAAAGAGAAAAACGTGGTAGATATAAAATGATGAACAGATTTGTGTTTTGTTGAGAAATTGTCTATGTATCCATCCTGGGTGGGTTAACGCAGATTACAGAGTCGGAAGAGACCTTGTAGGTCATCTAGTCCAACCCCACCCCCGCCCAAGCCGGAGACCCTGCACCAGTGATGGCGAACCTTTTGTTGTGTGCCGAAAACGTGTGCGCCAGCACCCACAATACAATGCGACACCCCTGTGCAGGTGCGCACAACACCCCCGCCCTGCCCTGTTAACCTGCACTGCGCATGCGCGCGCCTCCCAGCTGAGTTTTGGCCTTTTTGAGGCCGTTTTTGCCATCCCGGAGGCTCGAGGAAAACCTCTGAAGCCTCGGTAGGCCGAAAAACAGGCCCGTTTTGGCGCTTCCGGTATTTCCCTGGAGCCTCCCTGGCTTCCCTTGAGCCTCCGGGAGGGCGAAAACGGCCTCAAATGGGCCAAAAATGAGCTGGGAGGCATGCGCACTGCAGGTAAGTTTGGCTGAGGCTCGCGTGCCCACACATGCAAAGCCATTGTGTGGTACGCGTGTCATAGATTTGCCATCGCAGCGCTACACCGTTTCTGACAAATGGCGGTCCAAATGATCTCCAATTTGATAAGGATGCCCTGCAGACATACATATCTTGCAAGCAGTCCACGATACCCCCCAAAAGGGAAATTGTTATACTGAACAAGGTTGCACAGGTGGTCCTCGACTTACGACCCCTTACGAGCCCCAAATCCCTGTTGCTAAGTGAAACAAAGGCGACGTGAATTTTATCCCATTTTATATCACCTTTCTTGCCACCGTTGTTAAGTGACTCACGGCCGATGTTTTTTCTGCTTGTCAGAAGGTTGCAAAAGGGGATCGCCTGAACCCGAGACACGACAACCGTCGTAAATACGAGTCAGGTGCTGAATTCTGGGCACGTGGCCAATGGCGATGCTGCAAGGGCCGTAAGTGTGAAAAACCACGCTAAGTCACTTTTTTTTCAGTGCCGTTCTAACTTTGAACGGTCATTAAATTGAGATGTCGTAAGTCGAGGAGTAGCTGTATATTGCTCTATCTTTCTTGCAAAGCAATCGAATCTGCTTTAAACGGTGGCGCAAACTCATCACGCTTTGCAAGGAAAGAGGAATATCTCCACTAGAAGCTTCTATTTCTGTCTGTCCCAATGTTTTCTGAATTTTTTTTCTTTTTCTTTTGGGGGATGAGGTAGAGGAGAATGAGAAATGATGGTTAGAAGATGGTTAAAGAAATGAAAATAATTTGTACTCAAAGATGGATGTGGATAAACGAAAGGCTGAACAGCCCTGAAATGTTGTACACAACCACAACCATACCAATGTTTGGAGTGTCTCACTGAATTTGGGAGGTCCATATTTCTCCAGGGAGATTTCCCTTCACCTGGAAAAATCCACCCTACCATTCAGATTTGGGGGTACATTTGACAGAGGTTCAAAATGTCTTTCTAACTTTCAAAGGACCAGATGCCTATTCCAGAAGCGGCCACTAGAGGGAGAAAACGTTCCACCAACCGTGTTTCTCAACCTCCGGATCTTTCACGATTGCCCTCCAACTCTCAGAATTCGCCAGCTAGTATGGGGAATTCTGGGAATTGAAGTCCACACGTCTTAAAAATTGAAGGAACACTGTCTTAGCGCCCGACACAGTCTTGAATCACCCTTCTTAAGTTTCCCCCTTTCTACAAAATGACAAGATTTGGCGCATCTTTCAACGGTCCCTTCGCCAACAACCGAAAAGCTGGGGAAGAAAGTTTTAAACGATACCATATGATGCCGTTCAAATAGACGCCAACCACACTTTCTGGAAATTTGCCTGGAAGTACCGTGAGAATGTTGCTTCTTCTCAGGAAAGCAACGTTGAAGTTGGAGTGTCTGAAATTCGATGCAAGATCTCCAGATCTTTCTCCCTGTCCATAATGCCCTCAAAGAATTTGGAATGTCGCCGCGCTTGGTTGAGGTTCTTCAAACACAGGGTTCGGTCCTTGGGTTGGGTCTCACCTTCATCCGGTTCATCTCTTCTCCAGATTGGAATCCAGGGAGGCCCACCCCGTTTTCTCCTGCAGCCAGTCCACATAGTTGGACACCTTGGTGTAAACCCCGTAGACTTGCTTGCTGCCACATTCTTCTGGTCCACCCCAGGAGACCAATCCTTGGGCCACCCACCTCTGGTTGTCCAAGTCTCGGATGACGAATGCGCCTCCACTGTCTCCAAGGCAGGTGTCCTTCCCTCCTTCATAATAACCAGCACAGAACATGTTCTCTGTCACGCTGTAGTTACCCGATCTGGACTCGTAACTTGTCTTGCACTCCTCGTGGAGGACCACAGGTAGCTTCACGTACTGAAGGACATCCGACAAGGTCTGCATCCCAGAACTGATCACCTCATCCACCGTGACGTTAGGGTTGGAGATGCCCCAACCGGCCACCAAGCCCAACATGTTGGGTTGAGGTCCTCCCGACTCCCGCGGATCCTGGGGTACACAAACCGGCATGATGTAAGGTCCCATGGTCACCTTCTCTTTCAACTTGACCAATGCGATATCGTGGTTGTAATTCTGGATGTCGAAAGACTCATGGAGGATGATCTCCTCCACCGTCCGGTTGACCGCGTCGATTTTGTTCCGGACGTCGTGAAGGCCCAGGTAGACATTGACGTGTTCTTTGGAGACGGCGGTGAGCGTGTTGTCCCGTCGCTGGGAACGGAGGACGTGGGCGGCAGTCAGCACCCACGATTCGGACAAGAGGGCCCCGCTGCCGAACCACCGGTCATTGGGCACCCGTGACGTGTCCTCGACCACGATCAGAGCTTGCCAGGGGAAAAAGCCAGGTTCTGCGTTTCTCCCGCCGATTATTCGTTTGACCAGGGTGGGCAGAGCGCGGCTGGGTTGTCCACACACTAAGGGAAGAGAATAACACATGGTTAGCCTTTGGCACTTCCCGAAACAGATCACAAAGTTGTGTAGATGATGCCAAATTTGCTCTCAGTTGTCCGATGTTCTCCCTACAGCACAGCACAGGTAGTCCTTGATTTACGACTGCAAATTGAACCCCAAATGTTTTAGGGGGGGGAGAAGCGAGCCCGTGGCTCAGTGAGTTTTGTCTCCGTTTTACAACTCCCTCCTTTTTTTGGCCAATGTTGTGAAGTGAATCACTGCAATTGGTCAGCGAATTATGTCATCATTAAACCAATAATTGTTGGAAGCTGGCCGGGAAGGTTACAAAAATTACCTGCCAGTTGCCAAGTGCCTGAATTTTGATCATCTGACCCTGCAACCGTCATAAGTCCTTTTTCCGGTGCTGTTGTAACTTCGAACGGTCACTACGTGAACTGTTGTAAGTCGAGGACTACCTGTATTGGATGGTGATTTTTTTTGAAGGTGGGGGGAAAACTGGATTGGGTTTAATATCATTGGTAGAGGCCCCCTGGATTGACAATAGCCAGCCATCAAAACACCAAAATTTGCATGCACGATTTAAAATTTAAAAAAGCTTGCAGTTCGATTTTGTTTTGATATGATCCCCCCCTGCTTTTAAACTTTAATTACAGATGTAACTATAAATATATAATTAGCAGATATATTATAAATAGCAGATTTGTCCCCATGAAACCGGGTGCATGTGAATAGCAAAAGGAAGGAAGTTTAGGATTACAAAATAAAAATAAATCCGTGCCATAAATTATTTTCCAAACGTGCAATTATTTTCCCCAGCATAAATTCCTCTGCAATTCCTCAGCTTCCCCTGATTAACTTTCTCTTAAAATCCATGCCAAGTTTTGTGTGTGTGTGTGTGTGTGTTGTTTTTGAGAAGAGACTGGACAGTCACTTGTCCGAAATGGTATATAGGATGTCCTTCTGAAGCAGGGGGCTGGACTAGAAGACCTCCGAGGCCCCTTCCAGCTCTATTCTGATTCCTATCTTTATTCCTCCCTGGGGATGTCCACAAGGATGGTCAAAGAGGTCAAGATGGAAGAGAGATATCCTCATAGAGGCCATCTTGACTTTTTTGACTTCCCCGTCATAAATACGAGCAAGTGGCCAACTTCTAAATTTCGATCGCCTCACCAAGGGGAGGCTGCAACGGTCGTTAAGCGTGAAAAAAAAGGCCCTGAGTCACCTTTTCCCCTCCATCCCGCCAGTGCCATTTGTCACTTGGAACGGTCGGTAAACGAGCTGTTCTAAGTTGAGGACTACCTGTAAGGCGGCAGCTTCCCCGGATCCTTTCTTTCAGGATCTGTTCCCCGGCATGGATCTTAAAGAGTAAAAATCTACCAGTTTTAATCACATCCAAATATTTTTCCCTGCCCTTCTTCAAAATCGGCTCCGTGGCATCATCTACCAGCAATGATGGAGACCTTGTAGATTAGTGGTCGCCAAACGGTGGGCTGGGGACCACTGGTGGTCCGTGAGAAAATTTTTGGGTGGTCCACAGAGAAATGTCCCCCCCCCAAAAGCAATTAATCCGGGCTGTGCGGGAACACAAGACTTGTGTCACTTGCATTGCAAACAACACGAGGTAGTGAGGGGAGGAGTGAAAGGATGGGGGAGGGGAATTTGCCCCACTCCCCCCACGCGCCTGGCCTGGCCATGGGGCTGTTTCTTTCCGCTTCTTTCTTCTTCTGCTTTGGCTGCACGCAAGGAAAGCAGCCAAAGTCTTTCTTTCTCTCCCCCAAAATCCGCCAGAAATGAGTCTTTGGGACCCTGCAAGGCCTCCTGCTCCAAGAGGCTGCGCCGGCAAAGACTCATTTCTGGCGGAGTTTGAGGAGAGAGAAAGAAAGACTTCTGCGGCTCCTGCTGCTTTCCTTGCATGAAGCCAAAAGTCTCTCTCTCTCTCTTCCCCTGAGAACGGAGCTGGAGACAGTATCCTGCAATCCCAAATAAAGAACGATCGATCGGTAGGAAAACGGGGTGGGGAGATTTTCCTGCAGACTTTTTGGGGGTGACTTTTCCCAAGGTTTCTGGTCCGCGGGATTTAAAATGATGAGTTTGAGGGGTCCCTGAGATCCAAACGGTTGGCGACCCCTGCCGTACATGGCCTGGCCCATCATTGCTTATTTGTGCATCTCCAAATACCTCGGTGTGATGCGAAGGCCCGCATTGGCCACACATGGAGGGGAGGCTGCCACATCGTTTTGGTCTAGCTAGGACGGGCTGCTCGTTCTTTGGAGCTGAAAAAGGACCCCAGCAACACAACGGAACACAGAAAGTTGTAGTGTAGAGTTGTCGCTCGGACATCCGGAGGAAATGCCTTTAAACTTAGGCTCTGTTCGCAAGGATGATGAAGGCTAAAATGTAGGAAGAATGGTTGCAGGAATTGGGGGTGTCCAGTTTAATGGAAAGAAGGACTAGAGAGGGACATGATAGCAGTCTTCTAGGATTTGAGGGGTTGCCCCAAAGAAGAGGGAGTCAAGTTATTCTCCAAAGCAGGACAAGAAGCAACGGATGGAAACTAATCAAGGAGAAAAGCAACCTGGAATTAAGGAGAAACTTCTGAACAGGGAGGACAATTAACCAGTGGAACTGCTTGCCACCAGAAGTGGTGGGTGCTCTATCCCCGGAGGTTGTTAAGAAGAGACTGGATTGAAGCGGCCTAGGGTCTCCTGCTTGAGCAGGGGGGGGGGTTGGACTAGAAGACCTCTGAGGTCCCCTGCAGTCCTGTGATTCTGGAAGGAAGGAAGGAAACGGATGGAAACTAATCCAGGAAAGAAGCAATCTGGAATTAAGGAGAAATTTCCTAACAGTGAGAACAATTAAACCGTGGAATGGCTTGCCTCTAGAAAATTGCGGGTGCTAATTGTGGGTTTAGTAATTTAAAAAAAATAAATTTATGAGTGCACGGAAGTGGATAAATTGACCGTGGAATTAAAAGGAAAAGTCGATTAAGAATACTGTGCAATGTGGGAGAAATGGTATCATTGGATTGACAATAGAAATAAGAAAAGAAAATGTATATAATAGATATAGAAGGTATAGAAATAGTTATGTATAGATTGTATAGTCAGTGATGGCTAACATTTTTGTCCTGGCGTTGCCGAAAGTGTGTGTGTGTATGTGTGTGTGTGTGTGTGTGTGTGTGTGTGTGTGTGTGTGTGTGAAAGCGTACGCATGCATCCCTGCACCCATAATGCACTGCGCATGCAACTGCCCCGCTGCATAGCACATGTGACCTCCGTGTGTGTGCCACACGCCTCTGCACATGCGTGCATGGACCTCCCACACACCACATGTCTCTGCGCATGTGTGTGCCATGTGCCTCTGCGCATAATGTGCGCAACCCCAATGTGCACTGTCTCACCTCTGCGCATACATTCACATCACTCTCTCGTGCCCTGCCCCTCCTGGGCATGCACGGCAGATACCTAACAATCAGCTGGCTGGAGGGATGGTGCGCACACATGCTCAGTGCACCTGATCTGGGGTGGCGCCTCGCATGCCAGCAGAAATGGCTTTCCGTGCTACTTCTGGCACACGTCCCATAGGTTCACCCAGGGGTGGGATTCAAACTTTTTAACAATCGGTTCTGTGGGCATGGCTTAGTTGGTGGGCGTGGCTTGGTGGTCATGTAATTGAATGACCAACTCAATATCACTGACATCGAGGCGAACCGGTTGTTAGAAGAAATTACAGGGCTAATCCTGTAAGGAAGGCAGGAAGGAAACATTCTGGTGTTGCTTACAGAAACTGCCTCTCCGTTAACCCTTATTACATTCTTGGCAGGACTAGACTTCCTGTCTCAGGAACTTCTCTGGAGTATTTTTCCCCCTCCTTTGCTGGTACTTTGCTTGTGTGGAGTGACCATTCAAAGTTACAATGGCACTGAAAAAAGTGACTTACGACCGTTTTTCCCACTTACGACTGTTGCAGCATCCCCACAGTCATGAGAGGCCAGGCGAGGAGATGCAGGCCTTGATGTGAGTGATATTGAGTTGGCCACGCCCACCCAGTCACATGACCACCAAGCCACACCCACTACCTAAGCCACACCCACAGAACCGGTTGTTAAAGAATTTGAATCCCACCTGTGGTTAGCATCCAGGATACATCAAACCCAAACACTTCACTTCCCTCTGCACCCCCGATTGGCAAGCGCGGAGAACCTCTTGGTGCGTCAAACCCACGCAAACCGTGTGGAAGTTCTCCCCCTTGAACGCAAAGCCCCCAAACCTACACTAGGTTGCAGGGGTTTTGGCGCGTAATGCTCCATCTCTACCTCCCCAAGTGACGATGCAATGTGAACCATGGAACCAGGTCTCTTTGCAACCCCGTGGTTTAACACGTCGTGGGAATGCAGCTGCTAAAGTACGTCGCGTGAAATTTACATTTGCTGTTTTCTTCTGACGATTCCACGCTTTCGTTGACACCCCTGGTGGTCAGGATTCCAGCAATCGCTCTAATGAAATCATGATTCTCAAGCCAAACTTCAAAAATCTTCAAAGGATTTACTAGAGGCGACATACTGGCACTGCCCTGTATGAAGCCAACTCTGGCATACATAATTTACGTGACCCTGTTTCCCTCCTCTCTCCTGGGTGTGTCATAAATCAGATTCTCCAATTGAGCACCTTCACCGTCTGGGTGTCATCAATCACGTTCTCCAATTAAATATATTTGTGGGCAAAAGCTCTGGTATTTTAGTTACAATCTTTTAAAGAGAAGAATTGGAATGGACTTCCGCTTTCAAATACTACACTGCTCTTCCAGATTTCCTTCTCCCCCTTTTTTTAATGGCAACTACTAAAACAGGCATAAGAATGTCTACCATTCCGTCGGATGAAGTTACAATTCATAAAATCCTGGAATGTGCAGAGATGGATAGACTCACAATGAAATTAAATGATAAAGAACACTCAGAATACTACTCAATCTGGAACATTTGGTATCAATGGGTAGACAGTAAAACATGATAAATATAGGTCAAAAGAGGAAATTAAATTGGCACATTGGTATATACCGTGTTTCTCATATAATAAGGCTGGGTCTTATTTTTTTTTGAGCCCCGAAAAAATGGCTAGGCCATCTTTTTGGGGGTGACTTAATTCCCCCCCCTTGCATCTTCGGGCAGGTGGCAACCGCTTGGATGTTGACCTCGGCATTGGTGGGGCACTTCGTATCGGGGTCAATGCAGGCAGCACCATATCCGGGTGTGCAACAAAAGTACTTCCTAATGGCAAGCCCCCCCACCATTCCCCCCATTTTACATGTTTTAATATAGGACTTAATTTGGGGGGAGGGGCTTAATTTCATTTCATGCCTATAAAACATGCTGGGACTTCCTATTGGGGGAGGCCGTATTGTTGGAGAAACAGGGTAGGTAGGACCAACGAGAAACTGTTGAAATCAAGAAATTGCCAGAAAATGGAGATCTAGGTAAATATTCATATTTAATTTATAACATATATGTAGTTCTATTGTATACTGAAAAATATATAACATATCTTCTCTTATGGCTATGGAATAGAGAGTACAGTACATAGACTATAATTATGTAGATTTCTCTCTGATTTCTCTCTCTTTCTCTCTCTCTCTCTCTCTATATATATATATGTGTGTGTGTGTGTGTGTGTGTGTGTGTGTACTTAGTGTTAATATGACTTTTTTCTCTTTTGAACCAATGACCTACAGCAGGGGTCCCCAACCGCCGGTCCGCGGACCGGTACCGGGCCGCGGAACAACCCTTACCGGGCCGCTGGTTGCTGGGCGCCGCCATCTTTTTTTTGGTAAAAAAGCGCTTCTGGTGAGCTTTTCCGGGTAGAAAGCTCACCGGAAGCGCCTTTTCGTCATAAAAAGATGGCGGCGCCCAGTTGACGCCGGTACCGGGCCGCGGCGCCCAGCTGATGTCGGAACCGGGCCGCGGCGTCGAAAAGGTTGGGGATCCCTGACCTACAGTATATCCATGAATCACTTTTTACCAATAATATTAAGGCACTGTGAATTAGGATTACCAATACTATGAATAACTGTCAAGTATTAATTGTATGTATTGTTTATTGTACTGTCAAAAAACGATGCTGAAAGATATTGACACATCTTCTATTGTAGAAATTTTTGTAAACTTTTTAATATTTTGAATTTCAATAAAGTATTTTTAAAATTTAAAAACAACAACAAAGGAATGTTTTATGAGTTGACACTGGTCACCCCAGGAAGAAAACCCAGTTAGTAGTCAGCTTGCCACGCCCTCGGCTCTGTCCTGACCTCCATGTGAGAAGAAAACCTAGTTAACAGCTGGCTTGTCTTTTCTGAAAACCAACAACACCCTCCAGAGCAGGGGTCGGCTGCCACCGGTTTGCCCCGGTTTGGGCGAACTGGTATCTAATTTTATGGCCAGTTTGGAGAATGGGCAAATCTCACCTCTGGCTGGCCCCGCCCCTCCTGCCCTGCCCCTCCCAGGAATCCCTAAAGGGCCTATTTTGGATCCCAGGTAAGTACAGGGCGAGCATAGAGTCTCGGGGAAGGCAAAAAACAGGCCTCCTGGAAGTTCGGGAAGGCCGCAAATGGGCCCGTTTCCATCCTCCAGAAGGCCTCAGGAGCCTGGGAGAAGCTGTTTTCACCCTCCCGGAGGTTCAGGGAAAGCCTCCTGAGTCCGGGGAGGGCGAAAATGGCCCTCCCACTATGCTGCAGGAGGCCAAGTAGGCCACGCCCACCATAGCCACGCCCACTCAGCCCCCGGGCAGAGAAACGGTTGCTAAAAAATTTTTTTGGAGCCTGCCCCTGTGGCCTCGAGGCGTCTCGTTGGACCTTGGTGTCAAGTTGCTGATGTAGGAAGGAGCTTTTGCAGAAGGCGATCACAGTTGTGGCCTTTTTGGAAAGGATGTGTGTCTGTGTCTGTGTGTGTGTGTGTGGTGGGGAATTGGAGTACCTGGCTGGCAGGAGGGCCGACGGGTCCCCAGCTCGCTGCTTCTCCAAACTCCTTTGGCGTCGCAGGTGAAGATCCCTGCCGAAAAGCAAAACGTGGAAATCTGATTATATGAGGCGACATCAAGCGCCTTACAGAATTGCAGAGACGGTTACAGATATACAGATTAACAGAGTTGGAAGGGACCTTGGAGGTCATCTAGTCCAACCCCTCGCCCAAGCAGGAGACCCTACCCCATTTCTGACAGAGGGCAGTCCAGTCTCTTTTTGAAAGCCTCAAGGGATGAAGCTCCCACAACTTCCGAAGGCAACTTCTGTTCCATGGGTGGATTGTTCTCACTGTCAGAAAGTTTCTCCTTATTTCCAGGTTGAATCTCTCTCCTTGTTTAGTTTCCATCCATTCTTCCTTTTCTGGCCTTTGGATGCTTTAGAAAATAGCTTGATCCCTTCCTCCTCTCTGGAGCAGCCCCCCAAGTATTGGAAGATGCTCTCCTGTCTCCCCTGGTCCTTCTCTTCACTAGACTAGCCAGGCCCAGTTCCTGCAACCGTCCATCGTATGTTTTAGCCTCCAATCATCCCCTCATCATCCTGGTTGCTCTTCTCTGCACTCTTTCTAGAGTCTCAACATCTTTTTTATAGTGTGGTGACCAAAACTGGATGCAGTACTCTAGGTGTGGCCTTACTAAGGCTTTGTAGAGTGGTATTAGCACCTCCTTCGATCCCGATTCTGAGGTGAGTAGTGTTACATCCAAAGATATTTGATTCTACTTTATACTGTTTCCATCTTCCCTGAACAGAATTCACAAAGGTCTGAGAATTGTTGTCTGAATGCATCTGCACGATTAACAGGGTTTGCGGGGGGGGGGAGGGGGGCATACAAGCATCATGTCGTTCCCCCCCCCCCCCCCCCCGGAAGACACTTACCGGTGACGTTGGGAACCATTTGGTAGAACGGCTCATGGCAGACATACCGGATCTCCGACTGGTACGTGGTCAGGTTTTGCGGGGTGGAGAAGGTGACGAAACTGTGCGAGATTTCTCGGGGGGCTTTGCAGTCTGCAACTGGAGACAGGAGGACAGAAGGGAGAAGGTGATTTCCGAAAGAACAGCTGCACAATCATCCTAGTCTTGACCTTGAGGGAAGCCCCCCCACCCCCACCCCCCCGAGAATAATGGAATATTTTGGGGAACTATTAAGAGGCAGAATGTTATATTTTCCCCAAAGGAGGAAATGTTTTTAAAGACAGAAAGCAGCCCCCGAGTCTTCCTTCCTTCCCCTCCCTTTCTTCCTTCCTTCCTTCCCTTCCTTCCCTTTCTTTCTTTCCTTCCTTTCCTTCCTTCTTTCGTACCTTATGAGTCTTGACTCCTGATGAATGTATCTTTTCTTTTATGTATACTGAGAGTATTTACACCAAGACAAATTCCTTGTGTGTCCAACCACACTTGGCCAATAAAAGTATTCTATTCTTCCTTCCCTTCCTTCCTTCCTTCCTTCCCTTTCTTTCCTTCCTTTCTTTCTTTCTTTCCTTCCTTCCTTCCTTCCTTCCCCGGGTCAATTTGCTTACATAATAACACTTTTCCAGCTCCTAATTCCTATTATCCAACCATTTATAAAACAAATCTGATGTTCAGAAATACTCTGTATCTTCTTTTTCTTTTATCTTTAATGTCAGTCTGTCCATTTCTGCGCAATCTAATATTTTTTTTAATTGCACTTTTCTTCTCTCGGTGTTACCTCATTTTTCCAGTACTGGCCAAATACAATCTTTGCTATTATACCTAACAAAAATATTCCTGGCTTATAATCTATATGAAGCTTTAACATGTGTGAAAGCAAAGAAACATTGGACCAAAAAGAAAAATGCATACATGGTGAGCCCCCAAGTCTTTCTTAATAGCCCACAGCAGATGCTGGCACTTAAGGAGATAAAAGAGTTGAATGAAAGAGGAAGCCAACTATCTAGATGGCTCCATTCATAAGCAAAGCAAATACTGCCAGCAGAAGCCCATTCAAGACAGGATATTTCGAGAAACTCCTTTGCAGCAAAGTTTGACAGCTAACAAAAGCCGAATTAGTAGGATTATAACAAGCAACCCCTCACCAAAAATTCAGCACAGGACAAAAAGCCATTCGTCACAATAGGAATTGCCCAACACCCTCTTTAGAAACACAAAGCCCATATTGCACAAATCCCAAACTTCAAAGTTACAGAAACTACGGTATTAAGATCCATCTACCTATTCAGCCATTTGATCAGCTGCCCCAAAACTGGAAACAGAACCGGTGGTTCTGTTTCATCATTAACTGAATCTTTCTTTCCAATCAGCCTCCATGTTATTTCCAGCGTCTTTCTCCCAGTTTGAACCACATGTGTTACAGATTAACGGAGTTGGAAGGGACCTTGTAGGTCATCTAGTCCAACCCCCCCCCCCCCAAGCAGGAGACCCTACAACATTTCTGACAGACAGCAGTCCAGTCTCTTCTTGAAAGCTTCCAGGGATGAAGCTCTCACAACTTCTGAAGGCAACTTTTGTTCCATGGGTTATAACTTCAAATGGTCACTAAATGAACTGTTCTGACCAAGACTTCCTAGACCGTAATTATGCACACACTTATTTTAAAAACAAGTCTTATTTTATTGCAATGCTGGGAATGGTTTTCATTCCCAGCTGGTAATGAATCTCAAACAGTCCCTCGAGATAAGCACCCACCTTTCTGTCCTGTGAAGTGCTGCCAATAACAGAAGTGTCACATGAATTAAGAAAAAAACCAACCAAAGTGATAAAGAGCTTCAAGAATGAATCTGAACCGAAAGAACGACCTTGCTTCCTGCAAAGGTTTTGTCACCTTGGCCTGACCTTTATCCCTTATGGGAAGGATAATCACCTCCCAGCCTTACTCCCCAGTCGCCACTTTTGTCTCAGCTGCTCTCGCCTTCTAGCAGCTCTGTGCATACGCTCACTGGGAACAGGCTTCCCTGGTTTCTCTGCCTCGCTGCTGCCAGACTCCGAAGGCTCCAGAGGCAGCACCCCACTCCCAGATGGTCCTGGCCCCATCTCGGCATCGGACGCAGGACCCTCGTCCGAGTCCTCCCCAGACTCCCGGACTGGTCCCCTTTCTTCCCCATTGTCCAATTCTGCTGCCGTCTGCACAGGCTGCTGGCGAACCACAACATG